TGTCACAATTTCCTGCACTCTATTAAGTATTTTGGATGGGAAGGTCATGACTAGACAAGGCCACTGAAGGCAAGGACATTATTTTAATCGTGATCAAATTAGCATGAATTGAATACCTACTATTCTACTTTCAGTTCAATGCACAGCTAGCATCTACATTTAGAAAGGATATAGTGATTACTCACTACAGAAATATTAACAAAAGGAAATGCCATCAGTCCTGCCTTAGGCATGAAAGCCAGCTAGATGACTTTGGGTCAGTTACTCACTTCTCAGCCCAACCCACCTCACAAGGTTGTTGCTCCATGGAAAATAGGAGGAGAAAGGAGTATTAGGTATGTTCAGCCTTGAGTTTTTTATAAAAATAATAAAGGCAGGATAAAAAAAAGCACATTGAAATATCTTATGTAAATATGCTATGTTACACCACTCTTCGAAAACCCTTTTCTGATTATTTCTGAACTCCAAGGTAAATTCTCACCAGTACAGCAATAGCACTTAGACTTATATACCATTTCACAGTGCTTTACAGCCCTCTCTAAGTGGTTTACAGAGTCAGCATATTGTTCCCAACAATCTGGGTCCTCATTTTACCAACCTCAGAAGGATGGAAGGCTGAGTCAACTTTGAGTCATTCAGAATCGAACTGCTGAACTGCTGGCTGTAAGCAGAAGTAGCCTGCAGTACTGCATTGCACCCATTGCACCACCATGGCTCTTAATTTAGATATAATAAATAAACTTAATCAATAACTTTAATGAAGAATGAATGCTTACCTTAACAAAGTTATCAGGGAACATGCCCCTTTTCCCATTTAGTTCTCCTTCTAGCCATCCTTCCTCTTCAAGCTTTTTCACATTCCTTATGGTTTCCCCAACTCGAATGGTTAGCTCATCATCATGTACAGCATCATAATTATATTCCACAACATATTCAACTGGGGAAAGGAAAGAAAAAGTAAGTTTAGTTGAATAAAACCTATAACAATGTAAAAAAAAATTTAATTTACATTTTAAAAAAATATAAAGTGAAAATGAATACAGGGCTTTCAGAAGAGCTACACAAAGCATTCAGTAAGGTTACTTTGCAAAGTATATTAGCACAGAAAAACACTCCTTGATGTTAAAACAATCTTATCTTCTGGCAGTCACGTGACTGCTTTGAAACTGCATGTGCATATACAGGTACCAGGTATACGAAGATCATCCATAAAATGAAGTGGCTATGTGTACACATAGAACAACCTGGGGACAGCTGAAAACCTCCCAAAGAACTTGGTACCCTAACATTTCAAGAAGGGATTCTTTAATTTATGCTATTGCAATCAAGCACGTATAAGCAAAGTAAGTTCTTCAGTCATTTGAAGTCCTTTTGATTTTTTTTAATGACTGTAAAATTTCATCTCAGCCCTATCATAGCTTTCTAAAATTCATAATATTTAAAAATGTTACTGTATCAATTTCTTAATATATTCCCACATAAACTGCTTGTTAATTAGCTGGCAAAGCAGCAGAAGATAGGTACAATCTGAAAATATTGTCTGGCTGTCAGAAACAAGTTATTATTATTGTTATGGTTTGTTACACAGTCAGCCAAGTGTTTAGACTGGATTTGGCATTTTTATCCCACCTATCAAGTCCTTCCTAAGGACCTGAGTAGGTAGATGTTGTTACCTGATGGTGTTAAAGGTGTTATTGCAGGATGGAAGTGTTCCAAGTAAAGCTACCTTTTACAATTAATTTATTGTGATTTTGTTAATGCCAACAGTGTTTATATGATGCTCTACTTATTTTGGAACTAGGTACTACTTATATGGACACGGTTGGATCAAGTAATTGGAAACAGAAAATAGAAAAATGTGATCAACTCAGCCAGATGCTGTCCAGTGTAGATTGCAGAGCAGACCACAATTTATTGGTGTCAAATAACTTAGAAAATTGAAAATCTAGACATGCCTGGAAGATTTGACTTAGAGAGGGTATATAGTCATACATGAGGAACAGATTTGGTACTTTTAATTTATGTGAAAGAGAACTTGTGGAACAAGGGGAGGCATAGGAAACACTATGAAGTTTGAAGAGAGAAAAAAATCCCCAAATCAAAAAAAAGGTTAATGTGATTTTTATAGCAAGTTATCATGATACCTTAGGAAAGATGGAGGATAAATGCTTTCAATAGCAAGATGGATGTACAATGACGGAACAGTAATTTTCAAAATTATATAAGGAATAGGGGAAGCTACTGTACCTCAATCCAAAATGTCAATTAACAGAAAAAAGTAACAAAACAAAACAAAAAGAAAATGAGGTCTTTTAAGAAGATGGGAGAAATTACCAGAAAAATTACCATTTGCTACATAAGAGTAATCAAGAAAGAATTCTCATGGTGGTAAATGAAGTTAAGAAAGATACCAAAGCACCTTGTAATGGAAATAACAGACCATTTATCAAATACCAAAGCACCAGGTGCAGGTGCTACTGCAGAAGGGAAGACAGTTAGACATTAACAGTTCTGTGTGAACAAATATGGAACAAAACTATGAAATCTAGAGATTGAGAACGAAACAAAGATGAATATTGTCCTCATATCTGTAAATTACAGAGCAAATATAAAATTTGAAGGACTGAAAAAAACCCTGGAGGTTGAAACTTTTATAGACAACTTTGTTAGCTAAAATAGAAAAATCCTAAAAGAGTTCATTATGGAAATAAAAATGAAAAAGAAAAGTTAATATTTCAACTCCAAAAATTAAAATTAACATTTAGCATTATTAAAATTAACATTGATATATTAAAAGTAACATGTTAAATATTAAGTTTAAGGCAAAGAAAAGAATATAGGTTTTTTTCTTGGACTGGAGTATAAAAATTGGCAATATGCTGCTACAGGAGTATAAAAGAGATTGAGATGGAGTGTATAGAGATACAGACAGGGGTGGGTTTCTGCCAGTTCTAACTCTTTGGTAGAAGAGGTTCTACAAATCTACCGAATCGATTAGAAGAGGTTCATCACGGAGCACCTGCCCCCCCCCGCTCGCTTCCCCCGACCATTCCATCGCCGCTCGTGGGCAGTAGCTTGTGTGTTGCGGCCAGCCTCCTAGGACCTCCCTGAACTTGCCTAGGAGGCGTGGCTGCCAACAAAGCACGGGGGCAGGAAGGAGGAGGAGGAATGATATACAAAATGTTTGATATGCAATATCCACTACCTATCTTTTATGCTAAATGTAACATGAATATTGTCAAAATGAAGGTCACTTTAAATGTGGAAAAAATCGTAGATGGATGAATACTTCTAGCTGGATCATAGATGGGAAGCAGTGAAATGAATGTACATTTTATTGGCATACTTTTATCTATAGATGCAGATGCTGGTGAGTCATAAAAATTGCATATATACATATACGTATACATATGCATGTATGCATGCATGCATGCATGCATGTATGTATGTATGTAGGAATTCTGGGAGTTGAAGTCCAGAAGTCTTAAAGCTGTCAAGTTTACACACCCCTGGGTTTTTTTTCTAAAGGGTTAGGGGTGCAAGGGTCTTGTAACTTGACAGTTTTAAGTCTTGCGTGCTTCAAATGCCAGAGTTTCTGAGCCAACATTTTGATTGTTAAGCAAGAGCGTTGTTAAGTGAGTTTCACCACATTTTGCAAGTTGGCCACTCCCACCCGCTCACATGGCTGTCAAGACACTCCAACCCAGTCAAAAGACCCACCAAGCCACTCCCACCCAGTCATATGACCAAGCCACACCCACCCAGTCACATGACTGCCAAGCCACCACAAAACAGGCCACACCTACAGAAGGTTCTAAAAAAATTTGAAACCCACCACTGGATACAGAGATACTTCTCTTTCCTTGAAAGGATACTTCAATAACAACGAAGTTCAGGATAATTAATGTAATGGTTTACCTGGGCTAATGTACATCTGTAAACAGTAGCACTGAGAAAAAATGAGAGAAAGGATATAGAACTCTGATAGATTTGGTGGAACCATCATTCCTTCCTTGACCATGGCTGACTATTCCATTGAAGTGATGAGCAGAAATCCATATAATTTTACAAAGTGGTGAGAAAAAAAGATGGATTGGAAAAAATGACTATGGTTGTCAATGTTGTTGGGAGTAAAAGGGAAACACGATAAATAGTTTTTTGGACACAAATATTATTGGAAGAGCTATAGACTGACAGTGGAATTTTCTTATATAGTCATCAGGGATCACAAGCAACTCAACAACCCCAACTATTCACTGGATTTTTTTACTGAATATACTAAAAAGGGGACATTTTCTGTCATCTATTTTAAGAAATTTTAATTTTAGGGAAAGGTATATATTTAAAAGAAAATATTGGCTTTTCATCTTTTTATCATTTGTTTATCAAGATAGCCATTGCCAAAACCCAACACACTTTTCTAAGATGCTTCATCATAAAACACTTGTATTAAAGAGCATCTAATCTTGTTATTTTTGAGTGAAAAAACACCAATCACCATGATGTTTACAATGTAGGCAGGCCCTCCTGATATGAAGAATGAATGAAGTGATAACTCATTAAAGCTTCTTTGAGCGTATTCATTACATTTATAACAGAATAACTCAAGTTCAAACTGACCAAACCAATCACTTTACAAGAGAATGTATAGTATAAATAATTTTATAAGAACAACCCCAAGAAGGAAGAAATAAAAGGCCGATCTTGACTTTCTTAATAATATATCCTGGCCTGGCAACTTTGAAAGGAAAATCAAAATCATGTTATGTGAGTTGGGCGGCCCTATAAATATACTAAATAAATAAATCCAATTTCAGTTTTAACATTCAAAATGACTAAATTCATACTGTTTACATATCAGAAACAAGAGGTTAGGAAAACAATTCAGCAATGTTTGATTACTTTCCTCAATTATCTGGATACTCTAAAGGGTGAATTATAAACAGTTTAAAGAGAGCCAATTTGGTGTTGTAGTTGGAGTCTATGAAAAAAGCATCTTTGTTGTAGTTAAGGCATCAAACTAAAAACCCGGAGACCATCGGTTCAGGTCTCATCTTAGGCACAAAACCATCAAAGTGACATCAGGTCCAGTCACTCTCTCTTTCATCCCTAGGAAAGAGGCAATGGCAAACTACTTTCAAAAATCTTGCCAAGAAAACTGCAGGGAGTTCTCCAGGCAGTTGCCATGAGCCAACAAGGACTCACAGATACACACCAGCAAAACTCCTCTACAACAGTATCTACATTCCAATCTAAAATTTAAAATTCCTATTTCAAATAGCTGAACAAATTTAACGTTCCTTGTAGATTGAAGCTAATCACTGAATTGAGTGAAATTTCCTCCTTGTTATGTATGCATAGCATTGCACTATTAGAAGAATCAAAATCAGAAATAATTCACAGTAACAAAAGAACCAATCTTTTATGGTTAGAATATAGATAGCAACTGTTTGAAGTTATGCTGGCATTGAAAAGGAAGACTTACAACCTTTCCTCGAAGTTGCAGTTATTGCAAGCATCCTTGTGGTCACATCACTGCAATTTAGTCACTGAACAACCAGTGCGCATATACAATTATAAATATTAAGTGATTGGCTACTGTAACCTTCGCAACCTGCTTCCAACAATCATCGTCAATAGGGAAGTTGACAGGAAGTTTTAGTCACATTGTTTAATTCTTAATACCATGGGCAATTTGCTTCATGACAGCAGCTGGAACTGATGGAACACATCAGGGTGCTCAGGTGATTTTTACTTATGGCTGCATTGCCTAGATCAGTGGTAGTCAACCTGGTCCCTACCGCCCACTAGTGGGTGTTCCAGCTTTCATGGTGGGCGGTAGGGGTTTTGTCTGACACTGAAGCACTTTCCTTTTTTTTTTTTTTTTAATTGACTTTTTAAAAAAAATCATAGCATTATTTAAAAATATTTTCATTG